GGTGTGGGTGAGTGACTGTAGGTTGTGATCTCATGACTATAATTTTCCAGACGTAATAGAAGTCCACTGAGTTCGAAATGTGTACATATAGAGAAATTAGGAACGCGAATAAATTTGTTGATAATGTTCACTGTTTTCAATAAATCGTTGATGTGCTCGTCAATCTAATTCTTTACTTTTTCGATATTTTTCTTACTATTTTATAGAGAATAAAAAGTTGCACAACGTATGAAAAACTTCACTTGGCATCATTTCGTTTGAAAAAATTGCAGCAAATATACTGGCAAAAATTGACCGTCATGAGCTCATAAGTAATGACCTTTTCCACTCACGTTGGACATCGGAGTTCAAAGAAATAAATCAAATAGCTCATTTTTTTCAGCGATTGATGTTCCATCTTTCACTACATTGCACAGAAAATTTCTTTATCTTGTCGAAGTATAATCATAATAAACGTTAGTGGGACGACTTTCGACTGGATTTTTATAGTAAGTTGGTAGTACTCCAAAGTCGGTGTTGCCTACCTTTACTATAGTAGATCCAAGTGAGATAAACGTTTAGGTTTGGTGGTTTTAGACTGTAACTTTTCAAACGCGCATAAAAAGTCAAAAATATGAATTTTAACTATTGCCTTCTGCACTGGGATGATCCTCGATCTTTTCATGGACGCTCTCTTAAATGCTGGCTGGATATAATTTCAGTATGAGTAACAGTTTGCAAAAGCTAAATCACGATTCCAGTGTTTTGTATTTCAAATAACTTTCTAGATAAGAAAAACGTTAGATGTAGTACTGCTAACTTCAAAGCAGTCGAAATCCATTTGTCTACACCACGTTAATCTATCTATTTGGTAAATTTCTTCAACAAATATTGTTCTGATGATTAGAGTCTAAAATAATCAAAGAATGGTGGAACCGTCGACCGATTTTTATTCTGCATGCCGTATAGGTGATATAAGCATGGTAAAAAGATTATTGAAAACTTTACCGATAAGTGAAATAAATAGAAAAACAAATGGCAGCACACCATTGCATGTTGCATGCTATCGTGGTCATACGGATATCGTTCGACTATTATTACAACTGGACGGTATCGATATATCAACAAAAAACGACTATGAATGTGTCGCATATGAGGAAGCGGCAAACAATGAAATAAAATGGTTGTTTGAAGAATTGTATTATTCTAATGAAACAGTAAATTCGCTCTTCGGTATTATGGATAAAATTGAATGGTTTGACGCTTATCAAAACGCCTATAGAATCGCCTCCGAAAATCATAAATATATGAGGAGATGGCTAACGAAAATTCCTTTAAAAACTTTACTCATTGAAATAGATGAAGGGTATATCAATATTTTGGGACTGAAAAAGCCAGATTATGAAAAGATTAAGAATCAGATGAGACAGGCAATTGATTATAATGATCCAATACCTTTAATACGAGTGTATACGTCATCGCAACAATTCTCTTTACGATTAAATAAAGACTTGGCTAAACTTGGTTCCGATTTCCGGTTTAGAAACACTGAAAGCTACAGGGATAATGAACCGCCTAAAAGTCTCGGTCAATATTTATTTGCCACTATTTTTATTAATCATCCGAAATTTGAGGAATTTCAACATTCTGGTGTAACATATCGTGGAATGACTATAAAACAAAATGATTTTGAACAATATAGCTCTGGTTCATGGATGATGACACGATCATTTCTGTCAACTTCGAAATGTCGAGAGGTCGCAAGTGTTTACGCCACTGGTTATAGCCGACAATCGTTCAGGGACGGTCATAGGTTAGCTTTACCTGTCATATGCATTTATCATACAAAAAATCCCCGTTCTAGTCTTGATGTGTCGAAGGAATCACTGTATCCAGACGAAAAAGAAGTTTTAATTATCCCATTTGTTGTATTTAAAGTTAGAAGTATCCGTGAAAAGATTGATGATGAAATAACAGAAATCGATTTAGAAGAATATGACTTTGCTGAAACTTCATGAAAAAGTCTCTTCGTACAAGAAGTTTTCATTTCGCGATGAATTCATGGTCAAAAAGTGAACTCGAAAGTGCGTAAACTCGAAATTTCGAGCTCACTTACCCCTCGTCCATATTTTACCAATAAACTAGAGTCCATGATTTATAGTTTATAGTAAACGGTAGGTCTCCATTACTTATAGCACTAGGCTGCGAGCATTATGCAATTATAAATTACATAATTAATTACTTCTCAACTAATTAGTACTCACACTAACTAGTATTCACTCAATTAACACTCAACAAATTACTACTAACGTAAGAGGTAAGGCCTATCTTATGGAGGTTGCCATAGGTGCTCAAGGCCTATCCTATAGGGGTGCCCAAAAGTCCTCAAGGGCTATCCTAGGGGAGTACTTATGGGTCCTCAAGGGCTATCCTAGGGGAGTACTTATGGGTCCTCAAGGGCTATCCTAGGGGAGTACTTATGGGTCCTCAAGGGCTATCCTATGGGGGTGTGGGTGTAAGTGGGTGGTATGGGCAGGGGGGCGGGGGTGGGGGTGGGGGTGGGTGGGGGTGGG